GATGGCGGGGCGTCATCTTTGCTCCGTTCTTCTATGGCATCGTTATGCATCTATCCCATCAATTGTCTTTTCTATTATTATTATTTAAATTTATTTTTTTATTATGGCCATGCGTTCTATTTGAGTAGCACTGTTCTCCTTATGCATCTATCCCGTCCAATTCTTTTTAGATTTTTTTTTTTTTAAATTTTAATCGCCATACGTTCTATAATTCTATTCTAGTACCCTTCTTCCTCGACAACCGTTGCTGCAATGGATTCAAAAACGTTTTTGTTTTTGTTTTTAAATGCGTTTTTAAAAATTTGGACCATTTCTCGATTTATGCGTGTCATCCTTGAAAGCACAGGGCCCATGCTAATCTTCTCTGTATCGTTCCAATTTTAACGGATGTCCCGAAGGACTCAAAAACGTTTTGACTACCTGTTGTCACCCGAATACAACGTACGGTCATTATAGCTGTATCTAGACGCAAAATTGGCCCATACACAGCTATAATGACCGGACTTTGTATTCGGTCGAACACAGGCTGTACCGTAAATTATGATGAACGCACCTCAGCGCCTTGTTCCAGCGGTCAACATTCTGAGTGTATTTGGATCTAACGATGGTCCAAGTACATTCAAAATGCTCATTGACAATTGTTTCGAATGTATCTGGTCCAACACGCTGCCTAGATACGTGTCCAATGTTGAATTGTGCAGTGAGCACGCTACGTTCGCTCTTTTTCGAAGAGCTACTGTCAGTCACTGATGCACACCGGGGGGCAAATATGAGAATCGCGAAGAGTTGCGAAGGGGCAAATATAAAAAGTATGACACCGGTGAACTTTGTTGCCTGAGATGCACACCGGTGAACTTTGTTGCCTGAATACCCCTGTCTGATGTATGACAGTCTGCCGAAATAACCCTCTCTATTGTACGACAGTTTGGAGTTATACCCCTGACTATTGTATGAGAATGAGCCGTGATACCCCTGTCTATTGTATGGCAATTTGCCGTGATAACCCTGTCTTTTGTATAACAATTTGCCGTGATACCCCTGTCTATTGTATGGTAATTTGCCGTTATCCCTGTATGACAATTTTCCGTTATACTCCTGTCCATCGTATGAGAATTTGCCGTGTTGCCCTGTTTAATGTATGGCAGGTTGTCGTTATGCCCCGATGGGATTTTGCCGTGATACCCCTCTACTTCTCTCTCTCTCTCTCTCTCTCTCTCTCTCTCTCTCTCTCTCTCTCTCTCTCTCTCTCTCTCTCTCTCTCTCTCTCTCTCTCTTTTTTTTTTTGATTTTGCTCATCACACACACACACCACACACACACACACACAGACATCGATTTTGCTCATCCTTTCGACCTCACACACACACACACACACACATACGTGTAGTAGCGAATATTTCGATGGTAGTTGCGCGAGGCCAGCCGCGGCCTTGGAGAATTACCTCTTGCCGTACGCTCTCACTCTCTCTCTCTCTCTCTCTCTCTCTCTCTCTCTCTCTCACACACACACACACACACACACACACACACACACA